TCAATCTTAATGCTGTTTAATTTTCCAAGATGAGGTGTTTCATCACTGAAATTTGCTGATATTGAAGCAGATACTTTTTCTTTGAGCCACAGTTATTAGCAGTGTTTTCTGGTTGTATAAGCCAGAGTTCTTGAAACTCTACCAGGCTGCATTTCTCAACACTGGAAACTCAGACTGGTTGTCTGCCATTCTTAATGAGTCTATTTTCCTCCTGCTTTCCACTTTTCTAAAAATGTACAACAAAATTATAACTACAAAGATTTGTAAACAAGTCCTACTAAACAAACTAGCTAGATTGGCCTGAAATTATCTGGAAAGCATTAATCACTATACAGGAGGTAGATGAGGCTATCCTTGAATAAAAGTCAGACCCTTTCATTTTTCTAGTAGTTGCTTCTACTTCAGTTCCAACATGTCAAATCTTTCATCTGTTGAAAGAGCAACTCCCTTGGAGTCCTGTGACTTTGTCATTCTTTTTTCACTGCTTGCTTCTGAATTATAAGATTCCATTTGCTCATTTTAAGAGGCTTGTTATGCATATGTGCTAATAACTGGTACTATGCTATTGCCTGGAGATACTTTCAAAGCATCTGTTACTCCAATCAGTCCTACACAAAAATTCTGTAAATCTATTACTTATAGGAAACACATAGCAAAATTTTAAAAAGAGAAAATACAATATCCTCATCTTAAATGCTCTATCCATCTTTGAAGCAATGGTTCTATTTCACCTTTAATTAAATCATGTGAACACAGATTCCCTGTGTCAATATTTGTTTATTTTTCTTTGTTTTATTTTTTCTGCTTGTCTAAGCATCCACATTTCCAATGCCAGCTCAATACCCTGGGACAGAGAAGTGCAGCATTACATAATGGCACAAAAATCCCACAGGGCTACATGCATCCCAATTGGATAAATGACTCTACCAACAAATTTCCTTTAAAATCTCTACATACAGAGGTAAATCGGTCACCTTCATAATCCCTAATTTAAAGAAGAATAAGGGAAGTCCTTCCTCCCGGTCTGAAGGCGAAGGCAAACAACTGCTCTCAGATCAAACACAGTAGTTCTCCGTGTCTGTAATAAATGTAACTGATGACTTCAAGTTGTATCATGAGTAACCTAGCATAGATAAACACAAGGAAGAAGTTCTTGGAAGTGAAGTCAAGGGCAATAATTTAACCAGTCTTCAGCTCTTGCTCCTCCAACATCTACATCTGTGTCCCTTCTAATTCTCTACATCTTGAAAGGTAAGATTCTACCCTGCTTAACTCTGGCCCTTGGTCTCCAAGCCCCTTAAGCTTCTAACTATATTTACTCCCCAATGGTTGTTCAATTTAAGGGGCTAATACCAATTCAGAAACCCCAGAGTCAAAATAGATGGGTCTTATCATCCATTTAATCATACCCAATACTGTACTTCTCATACAAGTACATTTCCTGACATGATTACTAAATCTCCAAATCTGGTTCCTGGCATATCCTCAATATTGCTTCCCTTGTATTTCTTATTAGTTTATATTTACTATAGCACATTAATTCCATTCATTCTCTTAGGTCTACAGCAACCTGGCTTATTTATTTTTAGCTTGGTTTTAAATACCAGAGAGGCAGCGTGGCAGAGTAAAATGATCGCACATTTAGGGTCAAATACCTGGATTTTACACACTGAATTCATTTTACCTATCAATGTAAACCTCCAACATGTTCTTCCTCTGAACCTACGTCACATCATCTGAGAACTAGAGATGTTAGTCACAGCCTGTTAATGGTTAACTTAGAGTTATGCATATGAGGGCTATGTAGTAAAGACTCTGGCTTACTGCTGATTTTTCTTCTCTCTGACAATATTCTATACATCCTCTATCTTCCAGTCTCTCATCCAGTGAAACTGAATTGGTCGCCATTGTTTTCACAAATCATCATGTGATGGCAGCTGATTTTTTTCTGTAGCAAGATCTAGCTTCAGACTTTCTTGTATAAAAGATAACTATAAGTCTAGAAAGTCATACTTCATATTCCTCTTGATAACATAGGAAGAGTGTTCTACCCTTTGTCTTGATTAGTCATACTTCTTAGAGATTCTATATGAATAATCCCTATCTTTTCCTAAAATGTTCATGCATAGATTTCAACTATGTCTAGTTACACACCCATTCATGTTACCAAGAGATTTTGAGATTTGACCAAGGTGACTGCCTGGAGAGTGGAGAACACCAAAAGGATATCAACCTCAGATATGGAACTTCTGATACTAAGCCTATTAGCCTTCTCCTTTCTTGCACTCTAGAGAGCCATGGTGCTGAGAAACAGACTATAGGTAATTGGTAATGTTTTTGTCAGAGCAGACTCTTCTTATCATTTAGGAATACTTGACAGCAACCTCTGACTAGATGAAGAAACACTAAGTCACAAAATAACAAAGGAACTAACAAATTGAAAACAGATATTTTTCTCCCATTAAGTATAAGAAATAGCAAGTAGATGTTTGCTCTTGTAGTGTAAATAAGGGGAAAAATTTTCTAAATTTAAGAAATTAGCACAATGTTTCATACTTAATATGCTAATATCTTTATAAACAGTATATAGTATCTTGAAAATAAAAGGTCATTATACAAAGTAGGCTTCCATGCTTATTATACAAAGGAGTAATTAGCAAATGATAAAAGCATGATTGATTTCTACAGCACATGATAAGCAGTAGCTATTATTAGTAGTATTACTAATTTCTGAGAAATTATATTGTTGATTCAAAGGAAATGAACTCTAAAGTGCATAAACAAATAATGACAAATTTTACTTAAACACTCCTTACCACAAAAGTGTGCCCGATTTCCTGCAGCCTAAAAAAATCTACTAAACTTTGTCAAGATTAGTAATTGTTTTGATTGCCATTCCTTTGGCTGACTGTGAGGTTGTTTTCTTCTTGTATTAAGTGGAAGTTCTTTGGAGAATTCCATTTTAATGCCTTCGCTCATTTTTTTATCATAATTTTTCACTGTCCTATTGTAAATAAGCACTTTATCCAGCTAAATATCACATGTGATTCAAAGATTCCCCCAGGTTGTAATTAATGTTTTAAACCTGTGGAAGTGGCTTCCGTAAAACTGTTACTTGTATTTTACCAAATCAAATGCATCAATCTTTACCTCCACAGTTTATATCTTTTTCTTTATAACACTATTTTGCACTCCAGGATTATGTAAATATTTACTTATATTTTATTGTAAAACACATGTGTTTGTTGATATTTACACATCTAACCATCAGGAAATAATTTCAACATACTTTGTGGTGATATACTTTATTTATGTTTTTCCAAATGTGTAGTCAGTTTATTGAACCCCTTTTACTCAACAATTCATTTTCTAACTACAGGTTTTAAAGACTACATTTATTGCTAACTAAATGTACACCCAGATCTCCTCCTATACTTTTAATTCAATCTCAGGGTTTATTTGTTTCCAAGTAGATATTAATTTTTTTAATTATGTAAGCATCAAATACTACAATGTAGAAATAATTTTTTAGTATCAGTTTTTATTTATTTATTTATTTTTGACAGGCAGAGTTAGACAGTGAGAGAGAGAGACAGAGAGAAAGTTCTTCCTTCTGTTGGTTCACCCCCCAAATGGCCGCCACGACCAGCACTCTGCACCGATCCAAAGCCAGGAGCCAGGTGCTTCCTCCTGGTCTCCCATGCGGGTGCAGGGCCCAAGCACTTGGGCCATCCTCCACTGCCTTCCCAGGCCACAGCAGGGAGCTAGACTGGAAAAGGAGCAACAGGGACAGAATCCAGCGCCCCAACCAGGACTAGAACCCAGGGTGCCAGCGCTGCAGGTGGAGGATTAGCCTAGTGAGCTGCGGCGCCGGCCAGTATCAGGTTTTTTAGAAAACACAGCAAATACTCCATTGCTGGCAAATGTCTCTGTCCATCCTTTAAGATGGTGAATTTCTTTTCTTGGGTTTCTCTTTTTCTCATTTTAGCTCAAGCTCACTTAGAAAACACTGCAACATTTCACATTTTACTTGTAAAGATTATATGGTATGGTAGGTATATTGTCTTAACTTTTAGGTATTTGTTACTTTTCTCAGTGAAACCAGTTAAAACTAATATGTTTGCCAAGAATTATTTTACAGTTTAGCTATTGCTTTTTGACACTCAGTATTTTATAAAAGAAACTTAAATCCAGCCTTATTTTAACAGCTTTATTGAAATATAACTTGTATGTCATAGAAAGTATAAAATTATAAGAATTTTAGTAAATTTATAGTGTGCATAAGCCAATGTCAGCACAATCCAATTGTAGAACATTTCTCCATCACCCAGAAAAATTCCCTTGTGCTACTTTGCTAACAATCTCACTCCCACCCTCAGAGATACAACCTTCCTTTCTGTCTAAAAAAAATTCTTTTCTAGCTATTTCATAAAAGTAGATTATAAAATACAAAATCTTTTGCTTTAGGTATCTTTCACTCAGCATAAAGTGTTTGGGGTGCATCCATGTTGCCACATATATCAGTACTTCTGTCCTTTTATGCTTAATAGTATTTCATCTTATGGATATTTCACAGTTTTATCACCAATTAGCTTGTAGACGTTTACACTGTTTTCAGCTTGAGGCTATAGTGAATAATGTTGTTGTAAACACTTCTGTGCTTCTGGGTCTTCTGCATATACATGCATTCATTTCCCTTCAGTAGATTCCTTGGAGTAGAATTTCTAAGTCATATGGTAAGCTTATGTTTAAATTTTGAGGAAGCTAGCTACCTGTTCTTTAATGTGATTGCATATTTCTCATTTCTACTAGCAAGTATGACATTGATGGGGTGGGGCATGAGCAGGACTTTGGGGTTGCAAATGTCAAATCTCATTGAACTCTGCCCTATAGTTTTATGCACTTTACTGAATACATTTTAAAGTTCAACCAATATAATTCTAATTCTATAATTTAGGAAATCAATATCTTATGTGAGAATTCTGGTGCTGCAGACTATAATGTCCATCTTCCATAACTCGACTTCCCCTACTTTTATCCTGACGGGAGTTCCTGGACTTGAATGGGCCCATGTCTGGATCTCCATCCCCTTCTGCTGCCTCTATTTTACTGCTCTTTCTGGAAATACCTTGATCCTGTTCATGGTTCTCACCGAACCAACCCTCCATGAGCCCATGTACTATTTCCTCTCCATGCTGTCCACCACTGACATTGGCTTATGCATCTCTACACTGGTGACAGTGCTGGGAATATTCTGGCTCAATGCCCGGGAGATCAGCTTCAATGCCTGTTTATCACAGATGTTCTTCATTCACCTTTTTACTTCCATGGAATCCTCAGTGCTGTTGGCTATGGCCTTTGATCGGTTTGTGGCCATTTCTAACCCCTTGAGATATGCTGCCATTCTAACTCATGCAAGAATTGCACAGATTGGTTTAGCAGTTGTTACCAGGGGAACACTCATTTTGATACCACTAGTCCTGCTTCTGAAGCGTCTAGTGTTCTGCCATAGCCATGTGCTCCACCATTCCTATTGTTTCCACCCTGACGTAATGAAGCTCTCTTGTTCAGACACCAAAATCAATAGTGCATTTGGACTCACTGCAATTATCTCTACTGCTGGAGTGGACTCCATTTTCATCCTGCTTTCCTACGTCCTGATCATTCGTTCAGTTCTCAGCATTGCATCCCCAGAAGAGAGGAAGAAGGCCTTTAGTACCTGCATCTCTCATATCACTGCTGTGGCCATATTCTACATCCCTTTGATCAGTCTATCTTTTGTTCACAGATTTGGAAAACGTGCCCCACCCTATGTCCCCACCCTCATTGCTAATGTATACTTGCTCATACCCCCTGTGATGAACCCTATCATCTATAGTGTGAAAACAAAGCAGATTCAGAAAGCTGTGCTTAAGCTTCTATGTTCTAAGGGACATCTCTTTTAATAATCACTAACACCATAAAGATTTCAATTTTCCACAGTCAAGACAGTTTATTACAAATTGATATCATAAATACATGCCATATTATAGACAAATTGATCTAGGAATCATCTAATTCAAACAGCTCTGTGGTGTAGTTACCCTTCCTAAGGCAATCTTGACTCTTGTATCACCAAAATACTAATTCAAATTCTATTTATTAGCTACCCTATTCCAATAGGTGACTAACTGACCAACTTACTATTTCTATGCTGTTTTTGCTGAAAATCGCATGTCATTCATTTTGAATTAATTTTTAGAAATCTCTAGTTCTAATAAAATTTTAAAACAAAAAAATTCTTCCATGTTAGATAACAACTTCTGTCTACGATAAAATCCTCCACAATTTGGGTTCTATGAAGGGCACCATGAAGCTTCTCCACATCCCTGATCCTGCTCTTTTTGATGAGGGAGTGGACTCTTAACAGCTTTCTCTATAGTATTTCTTTTTAGAAATCCTATGATAACCCCATTTGGCAGCATCTCCTTGTGTCACAAGATTCCCTGTTTATACATCCTCTATGTTTAAGTACCCCTGATCTAAAAAAAAAAAAAAAAAAAAAAAAAAAAAGGAGGAAGAGAAAACTAGTTCTTAGAAAGGAAAGCTCTGACAACAAGGGCTGACAATTCTTGCAAAGACCACTTGCATCATACGTAATGTATTGAACAAGCTCTGTAAAGGGTGTGCAAAAGTAAGGTTGCCAAGAAGACTGTTCTATGCGTATATCCCTGTTTCCTCTTTGAGCACTCCGAATCCTAGGAAAATGAAGATCTTAAATTTTACCTTGCAGTCTGTTTTCCTTATGTCTATAACAACTTCTGCAATATTTTTGAACTGGGTATTCTCATTCTCATCTGATCTGTCTCCCATCTTGATAATCTGAAAATTCACTTTGGAACTTAATATTTATTGTTCTCTTGAATCAGTCATTACTAGGGAAGAAAATCTAATTTTAACATTATACCATAGCAATCAATTAAGTCTGTGCCACTGGATTAATTTATACAGAAAGTGTCCCCAACCACCTGAAGAACTTGCCAGATTTTTTGTGTAGGAGCTATGACAATTATATTTTTAGCTCACTCCTCCTAAAAATCATTTGTGTATGACTTGATTCCAAACCTAGTGGAGTCCTGACTTCCAGTTCCAGCTCCTGCTAAGGCACCATGAGAGGCAGCAGTAATAGGTCGAGTTAAGAGGTCATTGACACCCATGTGGAAGACCTGGGTTGAGCTCCTGGTTCCTGGTTTCCTATTTTCAATTTGGCCCAGCCTCAGCTGTTGCAGGCATGTGAGGAGTAAACCGGCATATGGAAAAATCCATCTCTTTCAAAATAAATTAAATAAGCAAAAATAATTTAAAATTAAAAATACATATCACCTAAGAATAGATACAGCAAATGCTAAGTCTTTGGAAATAATCCATTAGTAAACAGAAATTAGGGCAATTGAGAAATATGAAAGATATCCTGAAAACAGAAGACATATAGTTGAGTTGAGCCAAAGTCTCTATGCAGCTAGAATGCTTCAAAACAGAAGCTGACTTAGACACAACCTGAAACTCTACTGTTGGCTGTTAAATGGGAAGCCTCAGTATTCTAAGAAAAGTAAAGCTTTGGTAAAATGCAGAGAAAACACCTCTAAGACAGACCTGAAAAGTGTCAACTGGCAGCCTTACAGAAGAATGTATGTGGTAACACTCAGTGAACTGTGGAAGAACTTGCCTAGCTATTGTTATTAGCCACTGCTAATTAGTTTGAGTTGGTACACCTAATAAAACCCTTGCCATGGCCAGGTTGAACTTAGTCGTATTACAAGTACATCATCCCATTGCATTGGCTATGCATTTATTGTATCTCTGCTCTAAATCAAGCATTCTATAGAATCTACTTTTTATAATGATGCTGTAACTCATGAATCACAATCATTGCCAACTGGTTCCCTGCTGAGTCCTGTTAATTGGGGGATGTTACAAAACTGGAAACTGCCAGAGAAACAAGTAATTCTACCATGTTTGATGGCTCTTACAATGCCATCACAGCAATAGTTCTTTGCCCAGCTTCATTGGTGCTATTTCCAAGTTTTATGCTCTATCCTCTTCCAGAACAACTTTTGTCATCCTCTACCCTGCCCCTGAAGAAACAGAACCAACCACTGGAGTGCCCTTTTAAGAAATCTGAGTCTCAACTCCAAAAGAGGTCCTGTGCTTTGGAGGCCTGAGCTCCTGTGAGGAAATGGCCCTCCCACTGAGATTGAGTCATAGCTCCACGTGGTCCGACCTCTGAGCTTCCGAAGTACCAGAACCATCAGAGAACACCTTCTCATTATAGTTCTGGGTGTCACCTCTGGGGACTCAGGGGTCACCAAGATTCTTTGCTTTAACAATCCCAAATTCTCTGTTTTCAAAGTATACTGATGGTAGTATACTTCTGGATCCTAACCCCAAAATACTCACTTCAACTGCTGGTTATTTTCTGTCAATCAGAATCAGATCTTGTATCTTGAATCTTAAAAATTAGCTAATATTTATTGATCCCATATTTCCTATTAGCAGTTATGGATAAATATTTAGTCTGGATAAGCATATAGTCTATTTGCATTGTCAAAATTTGAACCGTATCTAATCTTCAGACCCCATAACAAGGAAGTGCAACTGCGACAACTATAAACAGACCCATCTGAGTATAGAAGGTATCCAAAGCAAGTGTTATGGACTTCTCAATGTTATGAATTTCTGTTTGTCACCTTCAAAAGAGTAGAGAATTTGCACATTACCAAAATCTATGTAAACATACTGCTTTCTTCCCCAACTTAAACATAATTTTTACAAAATAAGGACCAGCATTTTGGCATAGAATCTTTAGTCACCTCCGGCAACACCAGCATCCCATATGGGTCCAGGTTCTTGTCCTGGCTTCTCCACTTCCGAACCAGTTCCCTGCAAACCTTGGAAAACAGTGGCAGATGACCCTGTAGCCAGTGGGAGACCCAAGAGAAGCTCCTGGCTACTGACTTTATCCTGGCCCAGCTTTGCCTGTTGCAGTCAGGGAGAAAACCAGAATATGGAAGATCTCTGTGTGTGTGTCCCTCTCTCTGTAACTCTACTTTGTAAAGAAATACATAAATTTATAAAATAATTAAAAATAAAGAGTACATGGTTCCTAAACTTACCTCCCTGATACAGGTGTCTCCATTCTTTCACCTGCAACTTATAAAATACAGTGTCTATCCTAAGTTACTTCTCCAATAGTTGATAACTATAGTTTAAACCTGGCTTGCTTTTGACTGAAAAATACTATGCTGCATTTGTTGTCTATGTATTAAAAATTACCATTACACATTCTTTAAGTCAAATCAAAATAAAATACTTCTGAAATTATATCCTTTAATTTTTATACATCTAGAATTATGGTTATCCCATGTGTGATAATGAGTTATTTGAAAATATTATGATATAACTAAATTAAGCTACTAAGAGGTACGTTCTTGTTTATTCATCATTATATGATCAATATTTGCATAACAAGCATGAGCAAGAGAGACAACTATAAACAGAATCATTTGAATATAGAGGTTCTATAATATAAAATTTATGGCTATTTTTTCGGTGCCAAAAATCTTTATCATAAGACATGGAAAATGTGTAAAATATACAGACATTGTGTTACACTGGGTTAAGCTGTCACCTGGGATACCCACATCTTGTATCAGAGTACTTAGTTCAATTCCTAGCTATTCCATTTCCAATCCAGCTTTCTTAAAATGGGTTTGGGGGCAACAGTTGTTGGCTCAATTACTTGGGCCTCTGCCATCCATGTGGGAGACCCAGATGGAGTTCCAGGTTCCTGGCTTTGGTCTGTCCCAAATCTGGCTGTTGTGGCCATTTGGGGAGTGAATTAGCAGATAGATGGTATCTCTATCTCCCTGTCCCTCTCCCTCTCCTCCTCCCTCTCCTTCTCTCCCTCTCCTCTCTCTTTCTCCCTTACTCTTTCAAATAAATAAGTAAGCAATAAAAAAGCTATGCAGGGATATCAGAAATGCATTTGTACCAAAATAAACTCTCTTTTCCTTCCATTTTCCTATTAACCTTTTAAAGGACACTTATACTGGTTTTTATAAATTCAGTCCAAGAGTTTTTCATTTTTATTCTTTTTAATTTTAATTCATTTTTAACAGATTCAATGTGCTTTGTAGATACAATTCCAATAACATAACGATATTCCCTTTCTCCGTCCCTTCCTCCAACTGACCAAGGATATAAGACCTCACACATTCCAGTTTCGTGTGTTTAAATCTCTGTTGCCTGAAATTATACATCTGATTATTGGAAGAGTCTCATTGAGCTCTCCTTCATTCACACAAATTGAAGGAAGTGTGTGTTTGAGATATTTGTCTTTTTCTTATAAAAATTTCTGTTCTAGTACAGGAGGGTAAATTTTAGGTGTCTTTCTGTTGATTGACAGAGGCTCTCTCCTTATATAAGGTAATTCTTGGCTTCCCTTATAAAAGCATGCTACAAGTGCTATGCTGCACTACCATGAGTTGTCTCTTTTCTCTGATTACAGAGTGAGCACCATGATTATAGGCTCAGGTTCAGATGCTGTCTCTCTTACCAACTAGCTGGAGTTTTAAAAAACAAACACTTTACATCAGATTATACTTCTGTGAAATCAGTAGCACACCAGTGTCATTAATTTCTTACGATGGAATGAGAGAGCATTGGCAAAGCACCTAATATGTCAATTATTATATGGGACACAGGAGTGTGTGATCATGATAAATGAGGATGAGCATTATGGTAGCACTGGTTAGTGGTGGTAGCAGCTGATGACCTTAGGGGTTCATTTTGGAATGAGGCACAGCTAACCAGAAAACTCAAAATTGTATCTCTTCCTCTAAGCAGCAAGAAAATATGGCCCATAGACCAGCTGAATGCCCTAAGGTAGAATAAAATGTCCTAGAAA